GGAATGCCTGGAACCCTGTTCTCACATCACACATTGGTCAGTGTATGGTTATTTATTGGGTTCATATCTGACAATGTATGTCAGAGGAAGGCATTTAATTTTGATGGGAATTAATAATTCCTTTCACATGAACTGCAGCTGTATATGCCCCAAATTAACTAACAGCAACACTTTTCCATAGACAAGAACTTGGTGCTTAGCTGTGTCACTCGAACCTTGAAACAACACCTCCAGATGGAGTCACCACATATTCTGATAAGCAGTGGAATCCCTGGAAATTCCAAATGGGACCAGTTCCTTTGACCTGTTACTGGTGGGCAAAATTCTCCCTGTAGTAAGTGTCACCCAGTAATGAGTGTTTCCAGGCTGAAGCAAGTATGCAACTGTATGTGCGGAATGTTCACTGAAACATTCTGGAGGCTCTTTAAAGTGTGATTAGTTCAATATTATTCCAAGCAGATTATCTCCAGCTATAAGCAAATGAAATACATAAGTAGATTTTTCAGGAAGGGAAAATGATTTCTTTTATTAAGCAAACAGATTTAAAAAAAGATAATGCGAAGGTCTGTCTTAGTGATCTGTTATAATCTTGTTGCCAAGCTTTGGAAAATATAGGTCAGTATGTTTAATGCAACATAGAGGGGTTTTTAACAGTCTTGAAATAATAACACATTTAAAAATACTTAAATTTCTGTTTAAAAATTGGTGGCAATTTGAAATGTTTCAAATGCTTCTTACAGTTCAGTACCACATGAAACATATTCAGTTATAATCAGAGTTTTGCAGCTTTACTCACTGTAGGTAGTATCTTATTCTGTGAATAAGTCTATTAAAATCATAGCAACTACTCATGGAGTAAATTAGTATTGCATATATGTACTGTAAGAGTGATGTTGCAGCTGTGCTTCAGAATGGGAGAGTGAGTATTGAAGTTAGTTGATGTTGGGGTTCTGAGTGCTGCTGGCTTGATTCCCTCCTGTGTTGCTGGTTTGCTGCCTATGCTTAGTTAGTCCAATAAAATTTATCATCCTAAGAAATCCTTGCCTGTTGCATATAAGATCATTCTTTTAACAGTCAATCTGGTATATTGCCAGTTGCTAAAGAACGAGATTCTACTTAATCCCAATGACCTTTGGGCCTCAAATTGGTATTAGTTATTGAGATTCCATCGAGACTGCTGGATAAAAGAGATCACTAAAATGAAAAGTCCTTGAAAACATACAGCCAGGCTGTCTAACTGGCAGCCTGTGAGCCACATATGGCTCATGGGTTATTAAATTCCAGTTCACAGAGCTTGCCGGCATGACTCCACCTTGTCTGCCTGTTGCCAGATTCATGGCCTTTGGTTATCATTAGCAACTAAAATCAGCAACAGAGGAAAGGGAGGATGAGCAGCAGTGGCACACCTCAACAGAGTAGCTCCCCTAGACATGCTGACAGAATCCTCCCTGTTGCCGGAGGTTGGGTTATTTGGCCCTCCAGAAACCCTGTGGTCTGGGTCAGGCCCACAGGGCCAAATGAGTTGGACACCCCTGGCCTACAGTATCTTAAGCTGCTGTACCTCTAATCCCAATGCATTTTCACATTACACAAATTTCATCATTCTGAGTTTGTCTAGCTGCTGGATCCTAGTCATGGATTGTGCTAACTGTCCCCACACTAAACTCCTGACAACCTGCAGCAGCCAGTGTGACAATTCATATAACCATGATATAAATTATTCATGAAAAGATTTAGGATGGAAACACCTGTTAAATTCCAGTACTCCAGTTACCATCCATTAATAAAAAACAGGTAGAAAGGAAAATAGAGGGGTAGGGAGTCATTCTATTTTTCTGCGCATAAAAGTAAATCAGGAGTAATTCCACCAGACCTCAGTGGAATTACCATCGTGTAAAAATAGTATGAGAATCAGACTGGTGTTTACCTCATTTTTTTGTGCCCAGAGGCTATAAGTATATTTGATACATGTGCATAGCAAAGCTGAAAGCTAATTATTGGTAAATTATTATTTTTAGTGACATAAAACATTTAGATTTCAGGTTTAAAAAGCAAAAGTATTTCATCCCACCATAGCTACTACATAACATCAACAGAAGCTGTGGATTTCAATTTCATTTGCAAAAATATACAATTATTGGTTGCTGGCAAAAAAGACACAATCAACAGGAAAGAAATACTCCTTGTTCCTTTGAGACAACTCACAGTAATTAAAAACAATTCTGAACTGTATTCTGTTGACAACTGGATGTTACTTTTCAGCCAGGGGTGGAATTAATTATGCTGCTTTAAATTGTCTTTATTTGACTTCTGTTTTTTTCCTCATTAATTCAAAAGATAAAATTTAAACAAAACAGCTATTGGCCCTGCATCTGGGCTACTGCCAAGGAACAACTTGCAATGGAAAGGAAATACAATTCTTCAAGTAGAAGCATTATAAAAAAACAGCCACATATTGTATCTTTGGATAAATTTTACATACACTGTGGAAGGCACCAAAATGTGTGAGGCACTGTAAGACTCATAGGCTGACACGATCCTTGCAGATTCATTTGTTTCTTTCTGTTAATTTGCTAGTTTCATTTTAAAATTTGATTTACAAAGATATGTTCATGGTAGCTTGTAAGAAACACTTCTGAAACTGGCCTGACCCCACCCCTGCACCCATGTTTTTTAACTTTACTCATGCACATGACTTCTTTCCATGCTACTTTCCAGTGATTCTCAGACAAGGTACTGTAGGTCCTTTCAGGGGTGTGACAAGGTCCCATGCAATGTTAGCAATGTTGGGTGTGCTCACAGCCAGACCTCTGATTTTTAAAAGGGGCGGAGGGTGCAAATGGTGGACTGCACCATCATATATAAAACAGCACATATTTTTCTCCAGTTAAAAAGAAATTAGAAGCTTTACAGGGCCTAGGGCTATATTACTCAGATCAAAGCAAAAAACAAACGTTATTGGAATATGCATTAAATATAAAAAGCAAATTAGGCAAAAACAACCCTGCAAAAACTAATCAAAAGACGCTTTGAGTAGTCCTGTAGTCGTTAGAATTAAATGGACATCTCCTTTTTTCAGATCCATACAATGAAGTCTAGCCATCTTGACATCCAATGCTTCACTGAAAGTTATTTCCATGCCTGAGTTAGTGGTTTTAGCTACTGTTAAAAAGAGTCTGCAGGAGTGTGAAATAGGAGCTATGTTACCAGGAAGAGCTAACAGACAACAGTGACAGAAGAAAGGCTAGCTTGGTTAGTGGAACATCAAGCCCATTCAAAAGGAGCAAGGGTTGCTAACACCTGCAGAATGAAGAGTTTAGAAAGAACAAGGTAGAGTCTAATGAGTCAGGAAGTCAACTGATCCTCTTGCTGTTGCCTGAATGGAAATGCTGCTGCCACTGACAGGCAGCTGGTTTTAAAGTTTGGGTGTACCAAGAAACATAGTGGGAGGCAGGGGTTGGACTGCACCGCTACCCCGCAAGTGTACAAACGTGATTTACAAGAGAAACCAAATGCTTTCAAATGAGAATCCACCAGGTTAAAAGCATCCAGGCCTGTTGCAGCCTGAGTTCTTTACATTAGAAACCTTACTGGATTATTTTTCCAGTCAAAACACAAGTGCAAAACAAAGAGCTGGCATTTCTGGAGGGGTGCCTCATGTCTGAAATGGTAGAGAACCACCAGCCTGTTCATTTGAGGGCAGCCACATGCCTGCAGATGTGCTGCCAGGGACTGGCAGACCAACCCGTTGGAGTGGCTGGGGTCGTGCATCGGGTGCCTAAGGGGACTGAGAGCGTGAGCGGGCAGCCAGGCACGGGGACAGGTGGTAGGTGAGGCAGACATATCAGGTCGGGTGCGAGATTTGTGGGGCTCCTGGTTTTTCTTACTTACAAAGCTGCATTAGTGCGCAAAGAAAGGAAGAGGGTGGCCACTCGTCCTGCCTCTCAGCACCTAACCTCCTGCTCCTAGACTGGGGCCGAAAACTACCGCCCCGTTGGGCCGCAGGTGGCAGTGGTGCTGGGTGAGGCGCTGGCGGGGCCGGACCTGGCTGCGCCCGCAGCTCCCCTCGGGCCCTCGCAGCGTCTCTTAGCACGCAAGTTCAAGGTCGCGGGTTTCACTCAACGCCGAGAGCAGAGGCGGCGAAGCTTCAGGGACTCTCGCCAGGCCTCACCCCGCCTAAGGCCACACCCCTTCCCCCTCAGCTGCTGTGGTGCGCCTGCGCGGAGCCTGCTCTTCCGGAGTTGGAGCACGTGGGCTCGCGGCGGTTGAATCAAACATGGCAGCGCCCAGCGCTGAAGCGGAAGTTGGTGGCGCGTGAGGCCCCGGGACCCGCGACCGCCCCAGCTCAGGTAACAACAGCCCCTCTCTCGAGCCGGGCCCGGCCTTAGAGCGGTGGGCGGGCGCGCGCGGGGGAGCGTGCGCAGGGGGCTGCCGTGGCTCCGGCCCAGCGCCTCGCCCTCCCCTCGGCCGGAGCCTGGGGCTACCTTGGGCCTGGGCGGCGCGGAGTGGGAGCAGGGCCGGATGGGGCCTCACCAGGCTGCTCGGCTCTGTCCTCTGACTGAACCCTGCCAGTCCCTGCCCCGCTCCTTTCCACGGGCGGGCTCCCCACCCGCGCCTGCCGAGTCCTGGGTCTCCTGCTCAACCCCCCAGCCCCGCCAGCCGCCTGCCAGGCCGGGTAGGAGATTCTGGCAGGAGAACTCCGAGGCTGCTTCCCTTCTCTTGTCCATAAACGTTTCCGGGCAGCTGGCTGCTTGGACTCTCTCAGGAGCTGTCTAGTGCGCTCTGCTTGGCGTCCCCCCTCCGTGCGCTTGTTTTGAATCCACTTCCATCTCTGATTTTCTTTTCATCTGTCCCAAGGATTAAAGTGGCACTATCTAATAGCCACCTGTGTTAACAGTGGAGGCTAACTCTTGCTCTGTGGGCACAAGGCCTGTGCTACTGACATGTGTCCAGTAGGCCTGACTAAGCCATCCCAGTTAAGTGCCTGTGCAGCCTGTGCTTGAAAACTTCCAAGGATAGAGATTTCGCAGTTTCTCTAGGGACCTGTTCCAATGCTTGATCCACCCTCCTTCTCAGAAAGTTCCTCCTAATCGCCAACCTGAATTTCCCCTGCTACAGCTTGAGGCCATTGCCCCTAGTCCTGTCCCCTACAGCCACAGAGAACAAACAGCCCATCTCCATTCTCTCTGCAGGGGTCCTTCAGGGATGTGAAGACTGTTATCAAATCCAAGTCTCCTCTTTGCAGGCTAAATAACCCTAGTTCCTTCAGCCTGTCCTTGTAAGTCTTGCCCAATTCTTGTTGATTTCAGTGGGAGTTAAGCACACAAATAGCTTGGAGGGTTTGGATCGTCAGTCTCTGTGTCCTCCTCTGTGCAAGTGATTTGTCTAAATCAATGATTCTTGACCAGGGTATGTGGCACCGTGGGGTGCCATGAGATCCTTTCAGGGGTGCCCTGGATTGCTATGCAATAATAGCACTGGTAGATGTGTAAATATGATTCACAAGGTAAACCCAGAGATTTCAAATAGGAATCTGTAGCATTAAAAAATTCTGACTTTTTTGTGATCTTTCTGAGATTTTTGCAGCAGAAAAAACTGTTCTGTTATTTTTCCATAGTCAAGAAATAAGTGAAAACTAAGAGCTGGTACGTTCTGAGGGATGCCTCAAATTAACGAGGGTGCCTTGACTCAAAAAAAGTTTGGGAATCGCCGGTCTAAATAAGCACTTCAGTAGCTCAGTGTCCCCAATGTCACAGAGAATCTGGAAAACAGCCATGGAGAAAAAGGCCTGAATCAAAATAAGAGAAAACCCTTAGAAATAAGTTTGCTGTGCAGCAAAATGGCCAGTGTAATTTGGGCTACATAGGTGTAACCCAGGGACGGGCAAAATACTCCCCCCTCTCCCTGCTGGTGCAGCCCAGCCCAGCTCCACAGACCCCTGCCAGCCTGCGCCCCACTCTGGGTCCCGCTGGTGCTGGCCCTGGGACATTGGTCTCAAGACATTCGGACATTGGTCCCAAGATGGTGACCAGGGGGTGGGGCACCTGTCAAGGGACAGGGCTACCCATGTGACCCTCAACAGCCTGCCAAAACTGGGTAAGCAGCCCTCCGCCAAAAATAATTCCCCGCCCCGGTGTAACCTGGTGAATCATTATGTTCTTAGTATGGTTCATGTGTACAATTGTAATGTTGCATTTAGTGCGGGACTGTGTTTATTACCAGAAGAACATAAACATGTTAGAGGGAGCTCAGATCTCCATAACGGAAATCATCAGGACAAGATTTGCACCTGTGAAGATGGCTTAAAAGAGCCTGTGGGGCCTGGCTAATAGAAAATAAAAAAGAAATGCAATTCTACAGAGTTAAAAAAGAGACAGGATTGGGGCTGAAGCGATACATCGTGCGATATCTAGAGGACCGACTGATCTACCAGTCCTGTGATAATATTGTGGTACAACCATACAGATGTCTGTCACAATAGTGGGGACACAAAGTGTTAGTTCCCTTTATCACATGAACCTGTTGGAGGGTTTGTCCCGCAACGAGTGGCAAGGTTGTCTGAATACTTGCACATTGTCCTGAAAAAAACATTTTCTCCTGCAACAAGGGCAACATCTGTTCATAGCCATAGATGACAGAGATGTATTACTGCAGATACTTGATGTCAGTGCTTAGAGCTTATACGCTTTATAGCAATAATTCATGTATGGGAAATGGAGTAAGCTTATACTGGCAACAGGTGCTTTTCAATTAGGATAACTGTGTTAACACTAGGCCTTGCATTGATAATGTTATTACAGTTAAAACATTGGAATAGTTAAGACTGTTAAAATTTGATTGAGGATCAAGCCTAAGGATGGAAAAGTGACATGGAGCAAAGGATATCAGTAGGAATAATGGGATGACATTTGAAAAAAGGGGAACACCTAAAGTGAATATTTATGAGTATCTATTTGGAAAAACTTCCTGGTAGTGAGAGGGGTTTTCAGATTTTTTCCTCCAGAAAGAAGCAGGAAAAGCTTCTACCACTAGTAAAATTACAATGCTGTATAGTCTGAGGAGGGACTATATTTTTCACATCTCTGGGTTCTGTGATAAGTAGGCCTCCAAAAGTGCACGAAGAACACTTTTCCAACACTTGCCTGTTGCTTGATAAGAGAATTGGGCTCATTACTTTATTTTTTTTGATTTGTTGAACTCCATGTCTTTTCAGCAACATCAATAACTTCATATGAGATTGTTTCCCAGTTCTCTCCTTCCTGTGCCCTCATCCAAAATCACTCTTAAAATATCAAGATCACCTCTTCCCCATTCTGTCATCTCAAGTGTGTGAAATATCAGTAAGTTAATGTTGATTTTAAGTTAAGTTGAGTAGAAACATTACATCTAGTAATCCAGTATTGCCATACTAGTTTCATGTTGGTCCCCTCTATCTAGAGTTGCAGCTAGTTATTAAAGAATGAAGTTGTTAACAATCTAGGCTTCTGGAGATAGAACACAAGTATTATGTTGATCTTTAAACCACACCAAAACAATTAAACAAAGTTGTCATGCAAGTTTCTGCTCTTGTTAGCACTGTTTTATAAATTACTACAATCTATATGTTTGTATTTTTCAGATTAGACATTGTACCTCAAAGAATGCAGCCTGTTTGGAAGAGATTTGGCATTTCTTCCTCATGTCTAAAAAAGCAGCTAACTGGATTCAGGGTTTTAATTAAATGGCAAAAGACACTTGCTCCAGGATGCATCAGATCTATTTACAGCGAGACAGGGAAGTGGGAAAACAGCTATAAACTGGAGACAAGAAAGAGAGTGGAAAAATGGTGGTTTCCAAGAATAAAGGAACAGTTCTGCAAAATTTCGGAAACAGATGTAAGCATTATGAGAAATTTGGAAAGCTTTTTTTTTGTTTGTTGAGGTGAAGTATATTTTGAAAACGTGTTGAACACTTTAATATAGATTTTTTTTTTTTAAATGTTCCCCCTCAAATGTAATCTATTCATCAAAAGTATATCAGGCAATAGAGCATTTTTAACAGCTGTAATAAAATAATTCATGAAGTAAAAACAGAATATAATTGACAAAGAGCAAATTAATTTCTGACTGTGTGGGTCCGAGGTGGTGTGTTTTAACAGATTTAAAAAATTGCCTTCAGTAAAACTAAAATATTTATTTTCAATACTGTTATAAAGTACCTGTGTATATGTGTTCATGTGTCACATACAAATATAAACCCAAAATGTTCCTGAGACCTGCTGTCCAGGAAGCGATAATAGAGCAAATAAGTCTCTCCCAAAAAGAAACCCAGAATTAAATAAAATGGGTATCTTAAAATGATCACCAAGACTGTATGAAAATGATGTTGACAACACAGCTTTCCTAAAGATTTTTATTGACAATGAGACAGTTACGGAGAAAACGGTCAATAGGTTTGCTAATTCGCACAACTTCTTGATAAACAGTTACACTCTCATTTCATGTATCTAAATAAAGTTTGCTTTCAGATGGTGCATGTGCATCTTCTAATATATGCAGATTTCACTTGGGATTTTTGCCACTCCTAGGATTAATTCTATAAAGCAGTAAAAGTGACTGAGCATGAGGGATAACAGTGGACAATAAATGATGTGGCTTGCAATTCCTGTAAGGGCAAAGAAAATGAGATTCATTCTGACAGGGATGCTTCTCAGTTTCAAAAAGAGGCCAATTAACTGGTGGAAAATTAGAGAAAAGCAAGTAAAATAATTCCAGTGCCAGTAGAGTCTTTGAGGACTAAAAACTAGGGGCCAGTTCTATGTTATGACTGAGTGCAGAAGTTGCTCCATCCAGTTGACTTTGGTGAGAGAGTGTTCAGGTACAGGGGTTCTTCCACGGTTGGCATTAGGGTAGTGCAAAGCCTGCAGTTGCATGGGCATTGATCTGATCCAGCCGGGGATCACATTGCATTAACAGCTGTGAAAATGATAAGCCAGAGATTGATTTAATTGCTGCTAATTAGATTGGTGGACTAGTGAAGAGTAGAGACCCAGTACTGAACCTTTGCATGGAGTCCCCGGATGGTAAATCCTTCTCCAGGTTCTCCCATGTGATCAGCATATACAGATGACAAGGCCCATATCTTTCCAGCTCTTACATGCTTGAATTTACATACAAGGTCCATTCATTTCTTTGGGACTACTACTAGCATGTCTGTATGTAAGTGATAGTGAGATGAGACTTTCAAAAGCGAATGTGTTAATTGTATGCAATGGTTAGAAGGATGTAAACAATTTTTCTTTCTAGTGCTTAGGATGGTAGAAAGAAACAATTAAATGAAGTACAGTTTAGGCCAAAAAGAAGAAATATTTTCTCAAGTGTTATATCTCCTGTGCTGTGAAATAGTCTCCCAAAGGAAATGGTAGAAGCACCATTGTTTGAGACTTTTTTTAAAACTCGCCTGACCAAAGCATTGGAATATACTGTAAGAATCGATACTAGATAGTGAGGGGTTCTGGTTTAGTTCTGTAGTAAATCTAAATCCTTTGTGTGGTTCTATGATTTAGAGAGATCTGAGTGGGCCCTTGATAATAGAGAATCATTTTTGGAATAAAGTATTTTGTAGGTCTGATAAGGTTGGTTTCCCTGTGAATGCTTACAAAATAGCAAACACAAGTTGTTTGAGTTTGTAAACTTAGTTAGGAATCGGTGTTCTAAAAAGGCAGCTTGATCTGTTACAAATTCTGTTGTCCCACTAAGGGGATATGCTAAATCTGCACTTAGGGAAGCTTTTTTTTCTTGGAATTTTGCTATAATTGAAAGCTTCCCAAGAATAATGAGTGACTTAAAATATCTTCTCCATGCTGCAAAAAGTCATGGAAACAATTTAAGCATGTAAATATATGGCTCCCATGTCACTTTGGGTGTTTACCTTTTTCTCACTTATGTTCAGTCATAGAGCTATAACATTTCATTCTTCCTCCTTGCTTGCTTCTCTTGTTTTCCCCTTCTGAGCTGCATGATTTTGGTAGGAAATAGAATTTAGAAAAATTATTATAGAAATGAGAGAGGTGACTTGGATTCCAAGGAGAATAAAATAAAGATGAAAACTGTGTGCGTCAGGAAGCATTAATTTAAACACATACCTTTTTGGTATCTGATGACAGTCTGGAAAACATTATAAATATGCAAAACTCTCAGGGTTATTTTTAATAATATATTGTTCCATTCTTAGTGTTGCTGTAATATTTAATAAAATCTATTATTGAGATGCTAATTTCTCTCTAGTACCTTAATAAACATTCTTCTTCCCATTAGTTTTACTGTTTACTGGCAAACAAAAGAAGCTAAGCAAATAAAATTATTTCTAGAAGAGAAATTGTATGCAAGCTGTGTAGTTTTTAATGTATTCATTTGATATTATTTCGTAATAAAATGCTAGCTGGCATGGGTTTGATTTTTGTTGTTCTTTCTAGAAATCAAAACCAAAGTTTTATGTGCTTTCCATGTTCCCCTATCCTTCCGGGAAGCTACACATGGGCCATGTCCGTGTCTATACCATCAGTGACACAATAGCACGGTTCCAGAAGATGAGAGGAATGCAGGTAAGGAAAGATCTGCAGTAGGATCATTCTACTGGTATCTTAATCTTTTTTTGATCCAGGTATGTGGTACCAAGTCAGAATTACTTGTGCACTGAGGATGACAGGCTGAGGGTCTGAACTGGGTTAAAACAGGCATTTCAGGCAGCTTTCATTGTAAGAAATGATGTTTGTACCACTAATGGTTGCAAGTAAACATGCAGATTTGGCCCACATGTAACCACTGCAGTGTTGCTGTTTGAGTTTGCACAGTCTGAAATAGCACTAATGAGAAGCAAAGATTATCCCAATCATATCAATAAGATATTAATCCTAGAAGGGCCTCTGCCAACACCATTTAAATAGAGTACTCTTGAGTGTGACAGGAAAAAAGTGCAATGGGCCCAGCCTAGGCACCCAAGTAGATAAAATGCAGATGCTAGTATTAATAATGGGAGCCCCCTTGATGCAACCCCTGTGTGTGAGGCAGAGAATAGGCAGTCTGTCCTTTCACTAGTCCAGCTCCTGAAAAGCAGATTGCCCCTTTTTGCCATTCTGTGGTGGGGGATAGGTTGCATACTGCTGCCTTATTCAGTGTGTGGGGTGGATAGGAGGTGCTGTCACTGCCATTGAAGTGTGGGAGGCATTGTCACTGCCACTGGAAATTGAGTGGAAAGTGCAGGTGGTGTCCCCAAGGGCTTTCTTAACTATCCCGGCCATAAAGATTAAATCCTGTACTCTAGGAATATAAAAAAGGGAGATCACCCCCACATGACACTTCAATACATGGGGAAGGAGAAAAGATCAAGGGTAAGAGCCCAAGCTTCAGAGACTGTTCTTGGTCTTTGGTTTCATGAGCTGAACCTGAAGAAGATGATCAAAGGCCAGAGGAGCATTGTAGCATGACTGAGAAATGCACTAAGAAGGAAATAGACATTGAACCCAAAGGAGATGTGTAGTACCTGGAAAAAGATGGGAAATAGCCAGGAAAAAGGAGTGTGCTTGAAAGGAGTATTTTGGGAGGGGAACAGGAAGAAAGAAACAAGGATAGATGACCTGGTAGAAGAATTAGAAAAGAGTTGTTGATAGATGAGAGTTAGCGGAAAGAAAAAGATAGTCCAATAAAAGTAATGGCTTATAGCAGTGGTTCTCAACATTTTTAGCTTCAAGACACTCTTATATAACTTTGCAGTTTAGCAGCACCCTGGTTGAGAACCACTGACCTGGAGCTGGTACCAGCTGAGAGCAGGATCATACCCCATTGCCTTCGTCCTCCCCCTGGTCAGTACCTTAGGGGGAAAGTGTGGCCCCTACCTTCACAGTGGCTCCTCTTGTGACTGCAGTAAGCTCGTGACTGGAGCCATGTGTACCTGTGGCCCCTCCCATCAGCCCTGGGGCGTGAGCTGGGCTGAAAAGTGCCCTACATCTTTCCACCCACATGCATGGCAGTGTGTGCTGCTAGGAGCACAGGGACTGCTGTGGGGAGGAGTGGGGGGTCAGGGAATGGTTGCAGGTGCCACTTTTCATTGGGCTGTTGGGGCACCTGGCAGGAAGGGGAGTTACCACGTACCTTCTGGTACAGGAGCCGGGTGCCATTGCATACTTGGAAGGATCTCATAGCATCCTGGCTGAGAATCACTGGCTTAAAGTATAGGGTGTTCGGTATCATATGGGAGAGTGCAAATATACAAAATTGGTATAGAAGAATGCAATGTTTTGGAGTTCTAGCAAGATGGTCCTTGAGATTGTCCAGTGTGTCAGTGAATTATCCAGGAGCCTACCTTTCCAAATCCTTAAATACCTAAATAATGCAGCAAATGAACATGCCATGCTCTTAGAATGCACTCTTCCCTTTACAGAAGTGCATTGTGATTCCTTTAAAATTTCCAGAATAGTGAGTTGAACATTTTTTCTTTCTAAAACATAAATGTATATACACTTTAATGTCAATATACACTTGCTCTTTGGCTACTTGATCAATATTCAGCTGTTATTAAGAATGTCGATCCAACTCGTTTCTTGATAAGTATTTTGTTTCTTGCTCTATATTAAGACCTAGGGAAAAGTTATTTTAGTGTGTGATACAGTTCTCATTAACAAGATGTGGATTTAATTCCTGTTTAATAAGCCAAAAACATGCTTCCTCTGGTACCAGCTAAAATAGATTAAACAAAAATAAATTGTTAACATCCATTGGGCTACCAGAGGTGTTAATTGCTAAATACAGAGAAGAAAACACCATGAGTAGAAATCTTTTGGGAACATGAAGAAATAATATCCTTGCTGTGATACCAAACGGCATCCTTTACAAAAGCAGGTCTTTATATTTCTAAGATTGCCTTATTTTCATTAACTGAGCTTTTTATCCTGTATGTAAAAAGATTGTGAGGTGTGTAAGAGTGTTTGCATTTCCTGCGTATGTATAAATAGGCATCCTGCTCAAACATCTATTTGTGACTAACAGCGGACAGTCAATGAATTCAACCTCCATGTACTGTAATAAAGAGATAGATGTCTCAACTGATTTTTTTGAGCGTATCAAACTCACAACTACCCTATCCTGATTCTTATTTACTTGAAAAGAGAAGCTTTTTGAAGTTACTAGAATTGGTAATGCCTAAACTCGTAAGAAACAATATGTGTATATTTTTTCCCCCCTTGATTTTTATCCTTTGGATCAATTTCTCAACCTCTCTGTTTTTTCCAGCAAGTGTGCGACAGGTGTTCTAATCTTTTTGAAGGTTTGCTCTGTGGGATGATTTCAGTAGACAAGGCTATGACTTACTGTTGGGTTATCGTATATATGGAATTAGAAACATATGAGATGTTCTTCTGTGTTCAAGTGGACTTTACAAAATGGCTCTCCTGTATTTTTAGTATAGCAAAATGCGTAACAGTATTTATGAATAAACAAGCCAAAGTATATCTTTTACTGCATGGATCAGCAAGACTGCTTTGTCTCTTGCACTGAAAAGGCAGTTTTGGGTCTTACAGGGCTGAAGATTCACTGAATTTGCAGAGTGAAATTTAAAGTAGAAATTCATATTTATATTCAAGGCAAATTTACCTTTTAAAGATTTTTCTGAGTGTAAATTCAAAGTTAGATTAATGCCACTTATACTTGGTTATTTTCCTTAAGAAATAAAGGCAGTGGAAAGCAGAGCTTCTATTACTGTATGAAGATGTAGATCCTGGCTGCCAAATCAGGAGGTCTTACTAACTGACCCAAGGACATAAATAGGGCGAGTTTCCCTCTTAGGCAAGTGGAAACTGTGGGAAGTGCCAGTGAGGTTTATAGCAAGAAATCTTAGAAACGGCCATTGAGAAGAAAGCTCAGGCTGAGATTTATGTTTGTTCTTTAATTTACCAGGAAAGCAGGACTCCAAAGAAAGAGGTTCATTTGGACATGTGTGTGCTGAGATAAGAGCAGGGTGGAAATGCTATTTGCTGACCTACAGGTGATAGCTGTATTGATTTAATTAAAGCAGTCTAATTGATTTAGCTTGAATTGAACAGGGATTGACTCCATAATTAGATATGGCATTTAAATGAGGATGAGGGGCTACACAAAAGGATTACACATATTTAACTAAATTTGTATCTAAATCAGTTTATTTAACTAAAACAATATACTTTTCTCATGTAGGTGGTAGATTTCTATCTCAGACAAAGTTAAGTAGTTTATACACTTTGTAAAATAAGTGCATAACATACAGTCTGTCAGTTTTTCAAGCTCTAATGTTCTATATTTTGCATTCAAAGCACAAATATTTACTGAAATTTTACATCCACATCAACAAGCATCAGAAAAGGACCTGGGGTTATAGTTGAACCATAAGCTGAATATGAGCTAACAGTATGCCTATTGCAAAGAAGGCTAACAGCATACTGGGCTGCATTAGTAGGAGCATTGCCAGCAGATCAAGAGAAGTGATACTTTCCCTCTATTTAGCACTAGTGAGGCCACATCTGGAAAACTGTGTCCACTTTTGGGGCCTCCACTACAGAAAGGATGTGGACAAATTGGAGAGAGTCCAACGGAGGCCAACGAAAATGGTTAGGAGGCTGGGGCATATGATTTGAGAGGCTGAGGGAATTGTGGAGAAGAAAAGACTTAGGAGGCATTTAATAACAGCCTTCAACTACCTGATTCCAAAGAGGATGCATCTAACTGTTTTCAGTGGCGGCAGATAACCGAGAAAGGAGCAATGGGTGCTGACAGATGTGGGGGGAAAAAAACCCCAGCGCTTCACTGGGAGAGTCATCACATCAGTTGACCCAACTCCCCAGCATCTTTACAGCTCAAGCTCTTCAGCCGGGCTTTCTGATGCTTGAATAGCTGATTCAATCAGCTATTAGATACAAGCACCAAAAAGTCCCGCTGAAGTGCAGGAGCTATACAGATGCTGGGTCCACTAGGCTGAACTGATGCAATGCCTCTTCTGGGCATGCGCTGCAATTGGTACAGGGGCATGCCAAGCTGAAAGTAAAGCACTGTTTTGTTTTGGGGGGGTTTTATTTTCCATGTCTGTAAGCCACCATGGGTCTCAAGTCGCAGCAAAGGAAGTTTAGGTTAGATATTATGAAAAAAAATCTCACTAGGAGGGTAGTAAAGCACTGGAACAGGTTACCCAGAGAGGTGGTGGAATCTCCATCCTTAATGGTTTTTAAGACTAGGCTGGACAAAGCCTTGGCTGGGATGGTATAGTTGGGGAAGTTCCTAGATCTCCTGAGGTCCCTTCCAATCTTAATTTTCTATGATTTTTATGGGGAATGTGGATCTGATGCTTTCTTTTTCCCTGCTGTTTTGAAACTTCATTTTATTATACGGCATTAGTGGCATAGGACCCTGAGCAGGCAGGCATTAGAGCAGGGGTGGGCAAAATGCAGCCCGGGGGTTGGATGCAGCCCTCCAGGCCATTCTATCCGGCCTGCGGGGCCCCACCAAAATTAAGAAAATTAATATTTATCTGCCCCTGGCTGCCTGTCATGCAGCCCTCGATGGCTTGCCAAAACGCAGTGAG